AATTAATATTTATATCCTCAGTCATGATACGGCCAAAATGTGCCTCATTGAAATATTGATCAAGATCTAGATCAGGAAATTTGGAGTTGATCTAACATGGTGCGGACGATAATCATTGAAGGAAATATCCGATTTCGATCAAATAAGGTATAATGAAATCTGCGCGCTTTTTATACCCTCAGTCATATGGTTACAGAGGGTATCTATCATTTGATACCGTGAACCCGTGCGTCACCGGAATAATATATTTAGACGTAGGCCTTTTTGGTGCTAATCTGTTTTAAACTTTAGGAGTCGATATCGGGGTGCCGTCCGTCGTTAAATATCATGGTTGTAGGGTATATATTGTGCATGTGAGGAACTTAAACTCCAAATCGGATGAAAGATATGTATCTGAGCAATAGCTATATCTGAACCGATTTTCATCAAATTTGAAGTACTTCAACACAATTTACTCCATTTGGGCTGATATTAACCATTTGATGCACAATTAAGCCGAAATTAATTGAAGATATATATATATGGAAGCTATATCTAAATTTTAACTGATTCCCTCCAATTTCAACAGGGTTCGCCCTTGGGCAACACAAAAATTGTTTGAAAATTTCATTTTAATTGGATAAATGCCACACAGTGGTTCTATGAAGATCCTCAAAAGCAACTATGGGTCTATCGTGCTTCCTTCTCCATGTTACAAACAAATGCAGTGGTGTATATGGTATAAAAAATCAGGAATATATATTATATCTAAAAATTACATCTGCATCGGAGATGACCCATATAAGGGTTTTTAATTAATCACATTATCTTCGAAACGAATTTAGGCGGAGAGATTTAAGCTGTGGCTGAAATAATCCAAATGCCGAATTTTGGAGGTTGCACACAATTTGAACTTATATCGAGAGTTTTTATACCCTACACCACACAGTGGTAAGGGCATGGAGAAGGAAGCGGGATAGACCCATAGGTACTTTTAAGGATATTCATAGAATCACTTTCTGAGTCGATATATGCATGTTAGTCCGTCCGTCCATGTATGTTTGTGATCTAAATGCTGGTCGCTTTTATTATCCGATTGAGATGAAATATTGCAAACAGTATTTGTTTGGCCCAAGGGCGAACCCTTTTGAATTTGGTGATAATCGGATCAGATTTAGATATTCCTCCCATATATATATATTCATCCGATTTCGGGTTAATTGTAAACCAAATGTCCAATATAAGCCCAAATGCCTTGAATTTTGGCACATCCGACGAAATTCAGTCTAGAAGCAAGTACATCTAGTTTGGTGAAAATCAGTTCAGATGTAGCTATAGCTCCCATATATACGTTTCATTCGATTTAAACATCAAATCCCTCACGTTCGTAATATGCATTCGACAACAATGATATTTGGTACCAGATATCAAATACAGCCCAGAAATACATCTGCCAAATTTTATCGAGATCGGTTTAGATTTGGACAAAGCTCCCATATATATTTTCAACCGATTTCGGGTTAATGGTGCACCAAATGGCCAATATCAGTCCAAAAACCCGTTTGGATATAGCTATAGCCCCCATATATAGGTTTCATTCGATTTGGTTTGGTTTAAGTCCCCCAAATTCGTAATATGCACCCCCTAAGATTGATGTTTGATATCAGATATCATATGCAGCCCAGAAACGCCTCTGCCAAATTGTATCAAGGTCGGTTCTGATTTGGATATAGCTACCATATATATCTTGAACCGATTTCGGGTCAATTGTGCACCAAATGTCTAATATCAGCGCAAATGATTTGAATTTTGGCACGACCTACTGAATTCAGTTTAGAAGTATTTTAAATTTGCTGAAAATCGGGTCAGATTTACATATGTTTCATCCGATTTAGTGTTTAAGGCCTTCCCATTCGTAATATGCATTCGACAACAACATATTTGGTACCAGATAGCTCGAAAATAAATTTGTCAAATTTTATCGAGATCGGCTTAGCCTTGGATTTAGCTTTACATATATATCCTTAATCCGATTTCCGGTTTATTGTGTCATTATTTGGCTAATATCAGTCCAAATGGAGTGAATTTCGGTACTCTCTTTCGGTACACTCATTCTGGTACCTTCCCTACAACGTGTCAAAATTTTGAATAATTATATCTCTCTTTAAATTGTAAATAAGCATCTGATTCATTCAACACTTCACACATTCCAATATATACTAAAACAAGATCGGTTGTGAATATGATAGATATTGTCCGATCCCTTCTGATACCTTCACCACAAAGGGTCGCAATTTTCAGTATTTATATCTCCAATATTTTGCGAAACATATCAGCGATTCCTGACAAACTTGGTATATCTTAATATCACTTACTCAACTAGAGGTCTGATGTGATTATGAAATATATTGGCCAACTCCTTCTGGTACCTTCGCCCAAAAGTTCAACATTTTGATAATCGTTTATTCGCAAAAAATTGGAAATAAATGTTCGATTTTCTCTAAATTTTGCCCATACACCTCTTTTATTTTAATCAGCCTACGACAGATGAGACAATGGATAAAATTGATTAACTCTTTGTGAACAATGGATTTCGGCAGCTATCGACAAATATATACCCTACGCCAATCTGTGGCGAAGACCTAAAATTGCAAAGACTAGACAAAATGCATTATGAGACAGAGGTATGTTAACATAAAACAAGTAAAAAGCTTTACGGTCGGCTGGGCCGAACTTTGAATACCCTCCACCATTTGGAACGAATTTGGCAATTTTCAAATAATAAAATCCGTTAAAAATTCTGTTAAAAGCTTAAAAATACTGAATGTAGCCGTTATATTAGGGTCTATGCGACGGTGTCGACCTGTCATAAGACATTACAATATTCAAATGCGAAACTTGAAAAAATTCGGTGAATAATGTAGCTAAAATCATCAAAATACCGAATATAGGGAGGTACAATTATACGGGGATATACCAAAACGTGGATATGCACAGACAATTTTCTGTCATAAGCTGTAGTATCCACTGCGAACTATAAATACCGAATTTGAAACTATTCCGGTGAGTAATGTCGCTAAAATCATTAAAATACCGAATATCGAGAGGTACCGTTACATGGGGCTATACGAAGATGTGGACCTGTACAGACAATTTTCTGTCTCAGGCTATAGTATCTATTACGAACTTCAAATACCAAATTTGAAACAATTCCGGTGAATAATGTTGCTAAAATCATCAGAATACCAAATATCGGGAGGTATCGTTATATGGAGGCTATACCAAAACGTGGATCTACATGGCCCACTTTCAATACCAAAAGTCCTGCAGGCATAACATACATTTGCGAAAAATTTTATCAATCTACTTCAATTCGTTCGGAAGCTAGAGTGATTTCCACAGACGGACGGACATCGCTAAATCGACATAGAATTTTATGCTGATCAAGAGTATATATATATATACTTTGTGGGGTCAGAAATGTATATTTCGAGGTGTTACAAACGGAATGACAAACTCAATATACCCTCCATACTATGGTGGATGGTATAAAAAATATGTATAATTGCCGAGTCCCACAAAGTGGAAACATACGTCCCGAAATTCACTCCATTTGGACTGATATAAGCCAAATAATGGCACAATAAATCTGAAATCGGATTAAGGATATATATGGAAGCTATATCCAAATCTAAGCCGATCTCGATAGGATTTGGCAAATGTATTTTAGAGTATTTTTGATCTGGTACCAAATATCATTGATGTCGAACGCATATTACGAATGGGTCCTTGGGCCAAACAAATATTATTTGCAAAATTTCATCTTAATTGGGTAATAAATGCGACTATAGCACACATATATATGTTTCATTCGATTTAGTTTTGAAGTCCCTCATATTCGTAATATACACTCCACAAGAATGATATTTAATACCGGACATCAGATACAGCTCGAAAATACCTCTGCCAAATTTCACGAGATCGGTCCAAATTTTTATATATCTTCGATATACATCTTTATCCAATTTTACGGGTTTACTCCACCATATATGTAATATCAGCCCAAATTGAATAGATTTTTTCATATTCAACCGATTTTTCCATTTGGTGAAATTCGATCCGGAATATCTATTGCTCCAATTTTTTTTATATAATTCTTATCGAAGTCATACCATGCACTGCACAACAATGTTATTTGGTATTAGAGGTACAAAGGCCTCTATCAAATTTGTTGAAAATCTGTTCAGAGTTGGATATATTTCTCTAAAGCCATTATTCGCATTTAAATCATAGTTGGTATGATCTACTTCATACATTTTTTTTACGGGAGCTCTGCTAAATACCCATAGTGGTGTAGGCCCCGCCCTACTTTTGATCTTTCCCCACTGGTTTAATTATGTGGAGTTTAAAGTTATGTTGGCTTTTTCTGTTATAAAAGTATACAAGTTTCGATCCTAGCTAAAGGATATGTCAACCTGGTTAAACGAGAAAAGACATAACTTTCCCACTTTTATACATATCCTGCAAAAAGTTTTCAATGATATGTATGGATTTCGAACGAAAATGAATTTTAGTTTTTAATGCCATAAAAGGTATTACGGATAATGCAAACTTTGACCCTCATTCCAAGCTAACATTTTACAAAACATTTTCACTTTACGCCATGACCAAGGTAGAATTCAACTTGTCAAAGAGCTACAAGAAAAGTTCTTCAATGGCTTCAATAAATCTTGCTGGTGATGAATGCAGGGATGAAAGCCATCACATAAGATTCTTCAATAACCTAAAGAAAAAATGAAAGAAAAACTAAAGACGAAACATCTTACAAAGATGAAGTAAAACATGCGGGACACATAAGACAACAAAAGAAAAAACCTGGTAAAAATAAAAACTTTACAAAACATACAAACTTAAATCAAACAATGAAAAGTGGAAACACACAAGTAGAACACGCTAAGAGCAGGAAGTGGTTGTCGTGGGATTGGGGTAAATGGTCCAAGGGAAAAGTAAAAATCACTTACAGCAGCCATTACAATTTTAAAACGCGCCCACAAATCTCGAGTACTGCGTGACATGGCAAAACGTTCCTGTAGTGCGCCCTCATGCCGGGCCACATATGTCTTTGCCTGCAATGGAAGAGAAAAAAGAAACAAAGAACGGAAGTAAATGAAACTTTTTTTTTTCAAAATAGGTTTTCTTCTTTAAAAGTTTCGTATATGCCGTTGAAACAAAAGCAACACCAGCAGCATCATCGGGAACTTCTTGAATTCAAATTGAAGTGAAGAAATCCTCAAGATAAACCCAAGAAAATACCTTTTAGTTATGTCTCCCTGTGTGTGTGTGCTTTGCATGCTACCCAATACTTTTATTTGCATTAGTGTTGTTGTTCTGAGTTTAATACTCCTCGTGGTGGTGTCATTGCTGCCGCTGCTAATGTTTTCGTTTAATTTGCTTGGCTTTAATACTCACCTGTCTCACTAGCTTAAGTTTCTTACGTATTGGCCATGGTTGAAGTTTAACCGATTGTATAACCTCCTTGTGAAGACGTATGTTTTCAAATATTTGTTCTTGTGTTGATTCTTGATTTGTACCTTCGTCTGAAATGAAAAGTTGTTTGAGTAAATTTAAAACGTTTGTGGTTCCTGTCGGTGCTTGTGCATGTATTGCAATAAAAAAGGAAAGGTATTATTTGAAATTCACTAACTTCTTTAAGCCACGGGGATTATGTGTTTGAAACAAGTTTAATAAAGTGCTTAGCCATTAAAAACCAGTAAAGAAAGTCCTAAAGTCGGGTGGGGCGACTTTATGATACCCTACACCACTTTGCTTATTTACAATTAAAAGTTTTTATGGGAGAATTCAATCATACACGCCATGATTATAATTATAATTTAAAGTTCAAAGGACTAAATGTGCCGAAGCTTTGTATCTTTTCAATACGGACTTGTATTGCGAAAAATTAATTTTTAATCATATAAAGATATATATGGAAGCTATATCCAAATCTGAACCGATCTCAATAAAATTTGGCAAAGATATTTCTGAGCTGTATTTGATATATTTCCCTGAATATCCTTGTTACGGAGTGCATATTGTGCCTGTGGGTAACAAATAGAAGAAATCGGATGAACAATATATATGGGAGCTATAGCTATATCTGAACCGATCTTCACCAAATTTGACATACTAGCTTCTAGACTCGATTCGATCGTATGTGCCAAATTCCATCCTATTTGGACAAGTATTAGACATTTGGTGCACAATAAAAAGTAAATCGGACGAAGTTATATATGGGAGCCATATCCAAATCTGAACCGATTTCCATAAAATTTAGCGAATGTATTTCTGAGCTGCATTTGATATATTTCGGAGGACAAAAATAACAAATCGGATGAACAATATATATAGGAGCTATAGCTATATCTGAACCGATTCGATCAAAGTTGGCGTACTTATTTTCAGGCCTAATTTGGTTGTATGTGCAAAATTCCATAGTATTCGGGCTGATATTACACGTTTGGTGCACAATAAAAGGCAAATCGGACGAAGATATATATGGGAGCTATATCTAAATTTTTACCGAGTATCTCCAATTTCAATAGGGTTCGTCCTTGGGCCAAACAAATGATTTGTGCAAAATGTCATCTTAATCGGATATTAAATGCGACCTGCATTTTGTTCACAAGAATACGTGGACAGACGGACGTACGCACAGACGGACTGAAATTGCATAAATCATCTCAGAAAGTGATTCTATGGAGATCCTCAAAAGTAACTATGGGTCTATCTCGCTCCCTTCTCCATATTACAAACAAATGCACAAAGACATAATACCCTGACCACCTTGTGGTGTAGGGTATAAATAGGGAGAAACGTGTGCCCAAAAACTTATTACATGGCTATGTAAACATTCTACTTCTTGCATTAAAAGTGGGTAGAAAACCATGAAGCATGATTCTTTCGGCCCACATGCCCTTTAAAAACCCAACTGACCCACTTTTTCAAAATTTTAATAATATTGCTCGGGTAAAAGCATGGTTTTTATACCTAGCCTAATGGCTACGGAGTATATGTTTCATTTGGTACTACATTTGTCCCCATTGAAATTAGTCTATATATAAAAGAGTAGAGTGATGAGTGACTGACTAAATGATTCATCAACGCCCAGACGAAACGGCGTAGGGGTGAGATAGGGCTAGAATTTTTGGAAATATAAGTGTACTAAGGCAAGTTAAAAAGCATCAGTCGGTTTTGCCTCAGATGTATACCTTCAGCCAATGTTCGATTATTTAAATATATTTTGCCTTCTGTTCTGTGGAGTAGGCTCCGAAGGAATGAGCTAATATTGTTCATAACGTATTAGACCTAAATTAATATGATATAAATATTGCGACGTACCAGGTTTGGACTATATTGGTTACTTCCTTCACTTTACATGAGATATGTGATAATTATACTCCCAGCCATATGGCTGTATTGGGTATATGTCAACAAACTTCAGACTGCTGTAATTTCTGAGCCACTCGCCCAACAGCTGTTAAAACTATTCCAGTTAAAGCTCATTATATTGTTTACAAGCGTCAGAATTTTCCAGAAAAAAAGTCATTCCTGATGGAATTCTAGACTCTGACCAATTCGAACCCGTCTAAACTTATTCTAAAATTTGATGCTATTTCCGATATTTTTTGCTTTCATTCAAAAAAATATGGCGTTTGACTTTGTTGCATTTTTTTTAACTCCGTCTCTCTGGCTGGCTGTTGTGCACGATAACTTTCGAAGGCAGTGTTCGATTTGGTCCAAACTTGGTACATCGTAATATTAATATCAAACTTAGATCGAATTCGGAGATGGGCAATATCGGTCCACTCCTTCTGGTACCTCCAGACACAAAAGTTCAAAATTAAAAAATATTTTACTTCACAAAATCCGATTTTGCTCCAATTTTGCTCCAATTTTGCAAATCCTAATATTTGCATCAGTGCTAGGTAAGGTGCGAAAATGGACAATATCGATTCACTCCATTACGTACCTCCCCTACAAAAGGTCAACATTTTGAATAATTACAACTCTATAAAAAGAGTCCGATTGTCTCTAAATTATTAATCCAAGATCTGGTCATCTCAATATTTCCGTCAATGCAAGATTTGTTATAAAGACGGTATAGATTAGACCATTTATTCTGTAACCTCCCCCACATAGGGTTCAAGATTTTGAAAAACAAAACGCTCAGAGAAAGTGAATTTAGCATCCAACTTTCTTCAAATTTCACACATACAAACATGTTTTCTAACACGTTATCTCTTGTGAAGACGATATATATCTGCGAACCCCTTCTGTGTCACAATTTTCAATACTTATGCTGTCATAGCTTGCGAAACAAGTCAGCGATTCCTTACAATTTGCTATTTCTAAATTTTTCTCTCAACCAGAAACCTTAGATGAATATGGAGTTTATGATTTCGCATAAATTTTCTTGAAATTTTGCCAAACCAATATTTTTATTTGTATAGTCAAATAATCGAATATTGGCTGAGGGCAAATCTGACGATATTTTATAACTTGTTTAATTACAATCTTAGATACATTTCCGAAGTTGGTTTCTTTTTATGCCCTACACCACAAGGTGATCAGGGTATTATGTCTTTGTGCATTTGCTTGTAACAGGCAAAAGGAAACGAGATAGACCCATATTTCCTTTTCGTGACCCATATTTCCTTTTCGTGACCCATATTTCAGAATCACAATCTGAGTCGATTTATGCATGTTCGTACATTTTTTTTTTGGAACAATGTACTGGTCGCATTTATTGCCCGTTCCAGATAAAATTTGGCACAAATCATTTGTTTGAACCAAGAACGAACCCTATTGAAATTGCATCAAAGTCAAATGCCATAATTTTTAATCTTATTGAATGAAAGCAAAAAATTTCGGAAATAGCATCAAATTTTAGAGTAAGTTTAGATTTGTTCGAATTGGTCACACGCTGCCCCAATGTTGCTCTGTAGTATTTTGGCCCATTCCCGGCGAAGCGCTTGCTTGAGGTGATCGACACTTTATCGACAACTACATAATATTTTAGCGATAATATTCGGCATTTATTCTGATGCCACGGTCGATTGACGATCATCGGCTGTAATGCCAGCCCACACCATCACCATGGCCGGCGCTTGAGTTCTGGTGGCCAACCGAGGGTGCACATTTCCAGCTGACCTCTTAGGCAAGTAAACACGATCATTTTGTTTGTTTACAAACTGCTGGACAACGAATGTTTTCTCATCGGAGAAAACCAAATTCGGCAGTTCACCACTTTCGGCCAAGCGAAGCAACTCTTTAGCTCTATTGAGTCTATTTTCTTTTCGCTGCGTTGTAAGTTCTTGCACTTTTTTGAATTTCAATGGCTTCACTCCGAGCTCATTTTTTAATATTTGCCGAATGGAATATTGCGATATGTTCAGCTCATGAGTCATTTTTCGTACACTGCGACACGCGTTTCGATCAAGTCGAACCATTTCTGCTGATGTTGCTGTTTTCTTTCACTTCCTTGACGTCGGGCTATGCTACCAGTATCACGGTAACGACCGATGGTATAAGACATAAAAGATTTATTCACATTTAAATGCTGGAGTGCTTTAACGATAGCCAGTTGTGGTTTTCCAGCCAAATATAAAGAAATCACACTATCACGCTTAAATTCCAGCACGAATAACTTTTTTCTGGAAAATTCTCACCAAAATGCTCTTGTACGCTTGTAAACAATATAATGAGCTGTCACTGGAATAATTTTAACAGCTGTCGGACGAGTGGCTTAGAAATGACAGCAGTCTGAAGTTGGTTGCAGTTTTTTCATCTGAGCCTGTATATATTCATAATCAGCATAAAATTCTAAGTCGATTTAATGATGTCCGTCTATGTGTCTGTCCTTCCGTTTGTCTGTTGAAATCACTATATATTATTTGACGTAGCGCTTCAAAATTTGGCAGAACAATTTGTATTGTATCTGGGATTGTTGGTATTGAAAATGAGATTATCGGTGGTTGCGTAAGTCCCCATATATCGATACCTCCGGATATTTCGTTTTTTTCTCGGATTTATCTAAAAATTGGTGTTTGTAGTTCGTAATGGTTTCTAATTCGGTATTTTGATGATTTTTTTCCACATTTTTCCACGGTTTTGTCTAAAATTTGTATTTGTAGGTCATAATGATTTCTAGTACCTCCTTATATTCGGTATTTTGATATATTTTCCACATTTTTCACGGATTTGCGCAAAAATTGGTATTTGTAGGTCATAATAGGTTTAGCTCCGGTGACGAAATATTCTATGTATAGCTCCACGTTTTTGTGTAGCCTCCATATAACAGTACCTCCCGATATTCAGAGTTTTGATGATTTTTGCCACATTTTTCCACGGATTTGTCTAATAATTGGTATTTGTAGATTATAATGTGTTCTAACTTCGGTGGCGAAACATTCTAGGTATAGATCCACGTTTTTGTATAGCCCCCATATAACAGTACCTCCCGATATTCAGTATTTTGATAATTTTTGCAACATTTTTTTACGGATTTGTCTAGAAATTGGTATTTGTAGGTCATAATGGGTTCTAGCTCCAGTGGCAGGACATTGAATATTTAGGTTCACGTTTTCCTATAGTGCACATATAACGATACCCACCGATATTCTGTATTTCGATAATCCTAGTCACATTTACCCACAAATTGTTTTAGAAGAGTTGGTAGATGACAATCCATGACGTATAAAATGTTCTATAGAGGATCCTGTTTTGGTTTAATATAAAGGCCTAACCCACTTTATGTTTTTTTTGAAATATTTAACATCTTACTGGTATTTTTAGTTAAAGGGAATTCAGATACTTTTATACAAAAATTTGTTCTTAATCCAATAGTGGAGGATATTAAAAGTTCGGCCCGGCTGAGGGTATACATCAGTCGATATGATACTTTTTAACTTGTTTTCTAATTGTTTTTATACACTCCCCTATACTATATACGTTTGTAACTCCTCGAAATATTCATAAAAGACCCTACAAAGTATAAAAATTCTGGATCAGCGTAAAATTCAAAGACGATCTAGCGATGTCCGTCTGTTTGTCTGTCTGGCTGTCCGTCTGTCTGTTGTAATCACGCTATCTTTCGAACGAATTGAGATAGAAGGCTAGATTTTCACACATGTTTATTTTGCCAGTAGGCAGGTTAAGTTCGTGAATGGGTCATGTAGGTCCACGTGTTCATATAGCCCCCATATAATGGTACCTCCCGATATTCGGGATGATGTTTTTGCGATTAGCAAATTTGGTATTTGAAGTTCGTAATGAATACTACAGCCTATGGCAGAAAATTGTCTATGCAGGTCCACGTCTTCGTATAGCCTCCATATAAAGGTACCTCCCAATATTCGGTATTTTGATGATTTTAGCGACATTATTCATCGGAATTGTTGTAAATTTGGCATTTGAAGTTCGTAATGGATACTACAGCCTGTGACAGAAAATTATCTGTGCATGTCCAGGTCTTCGCATAGGCCCCATATATCAGTACCTCCCTATATTCTATATTTTGACGATTTTAGGTACAATACTCACAGAAATTGTTTGAGATGTCGTATTTGAAGTTCGTAATGTTACTACAGCCTGTGACAGAAAATTGTCTATGCATTTCCAGGTCTTCGTATAGGCCCCATATATACGATATTTTGATGATTTTAGCTGCAATATTCACCGTTTATTTCAAGTTTCGAATTTGAATATGGTAATGGCTTACACCAATGCCTATGTAGGTCCACGTCGTATAGACCCCAATATAACGGCTATATTCGGTATTTTTAAGATTTTAACAGAATGTTTAGAGGATTTTATTTTTTGAAAATTTCCAAATTCGTTCCAAATTCTGGAGGGTATTCAAAGTGAATGAGCATTTTGATTTCGCAATGTTACCAGAATAATTTACCATGAATTACGTTTTCAAACAGCTTTGTATGAATTTGAAATATTACCCCAGTTCAATGTCAAAGTTTAACTTGTTAGTGCTTTCAAATCAATCATCACAACTACAATGTGAAACTATTAAACCTTAACTTGTCGTAATATAAAAATGCCTTTGTGTACATTTAAATTCTTTTGTGCATTTTGTTACCTCATAACATAGATGGTCAGATTTTATAGCCACTTTAATACAAAATAGTTCTGTTTGTTACATTTTATTCTTTTGCATGTTTTCTTTTGGATTTTATTGCTTCGTTTTTTTTTCAACCTTTTTTTGGTAAGTCTTTTAGTTTTTTTTTTTCAACATACCAGAACTTGTTGTATAGACGCTGGAGCGTCTACGCTCAGCATTATCCAAAACGTGATCCATTGGACTGGAAGCTCTACGTGAGTTGCGACTGCTGCTTTTTCTGCGATATCCACGTACACTGGCACGTCTCTGCATTATTGCTGATACGGACACAGAATAGTCCTCTTCATCGTCAATATCTTCGTCATTGTCTTCATCGTTATTATCCGCATTAGCAGCGTGAATACTAAAGCCAGGACTGTGTAAGGGAAAATCTATAAAGAAACAACAATAACAAAGTGAGTGCACAATAACAAAGCGACGGAGAGGGGCAATAGTTACACGCACCAAAAATAACAACACAAAAAACGGAAATTACTATAATTCCGTTTATGGTTCAGGTTTTATTTAATTTTTGCATCCGTCGAAAATGTACCATTTTGAGTTTGGGTCTACTGCCATTAAAACATGCAAATCATTTTGATTTTCCGTTTTTCCTTTATTCAATGCGAATATAGCTATGAATAGCAATGGATTTGGTTTTCTTGGTTTGACAGTCAGCTATTCCTCCATCCCCTTTATCATGTATTCGCTTTTTTGTGGAGAATTCTTCTGCCTTCAGTTGGAAAAGCAGACTCCAAATGTTTCATTCATGTGTTACATTTTAATGTCTGGCAAATACGTGACATTTTAGTCAAAAGCAAATAGGATTTTTATGTTACTTTTGGAAATGACAACTTTTGTCTGTTTCCCTTCCTTCCAGGCTACTTCTGATGGCTAATCAAATTTTGTTTTGTCTCTGTAATCCACAGATTTTTTTGTTGTTGCAAAATATGTGCGCAAGTAGGGCAACATTTGGCTAATATAAAACGAATAGTAATTGTCCTCTTTGGGAAATTACGACATCAGGCCTACATTAGAAATCTTGAAGACCTTTGGCGAGGAGGAGGGGAATTTAAAGTTTTTAATTTTATTCCGAACCCCGCGCGTTCAGTGGTGTCTTTATAAAGACTTTTTCTTAAGGGAGGTTTTCGTCCCATTTAAATCCAACCGGAATTCAATTAGCGCTCTACCGTTCATGACCCAGTGAAGCCCCACATACTTTTTGCCTAGCTTATATGAGAAGACCAAAAAAAATCTCTACAAAAGGATCAACAAGTCTTCTACGGATATAAAAAGGTTTCTCTCCATATGTTAACATATCCACAGAATTAAACCTGATTACCGCAGCTAATTCTAAGATGTAAAATACGATTTATTTATTTAATCGGGATTTATTCAATTTGAAATTTGCGATGAGGGTCGCTGATTGGTTGTAGAATAGATGTACCAAAGATTTTTAGAAAATTCGAACTATACTTAAAAGCTTATGAACTAGAACGAATGGACTAAAATCATGACATTTGGTACAAGAGTAAAATTTGAGAAATAGGATGTGGTATTGGAAGGCCATAATTCTTGCCAAAGGTCACCAATTGGAAAAAATTTAAACCTATTCTAAAATTCGATGCTATTTCGGATCTTTCTTGCTTTCATTCTATAAAATTAAAAAAAAAAAAAAAAAACAATTAAAGAAGTATTAGTCGGTTTTGCCTACAGATGTATACCTTCATTGGCTGAAGGTATACATCTGTCGACAAAACCGATTATTTAAAAAATATTTTGACTTCTCTTATGATTATTTAAATGTTTAACACCTTATGCAGTAGGCTCCGAAAGTATGGGTCAATATTGGCCATTTCGTATCGGATCTAAATAAATATGATATAAATATTGCGACGTGCTAGGTTTGGGCTGTGTTGTGTTGATGGAAATATTGGGATGTAACACGTCTTGAATGAAATCGGTCAATTTCGGGTCTCATGCGCTTCGATATTCAAAACTTTGAGCCTTTGTGGGGGAGGTACCAGAAGGAGAGGACCGATATATTCCATCTTCACAACGGATATTTTATTAGCGGAAATAATGAGATGTGAGAAATATAAAGAGAACCTGATGCTTATTTCGGATTTTATAAACTTTTTGTTTGTTCAAAACTTCGACCCTTTGTTGTGGAGGTACCAGAAGTAATGGTCCGATCTCTACCGTTTTTTTTTAACAGATCCTGTGTTGATAGAAATATTTAGATGTGACAATTCTAAATGGTAACCGATGTTAATTTCGCGTTTTATGAGCTTAATGGATCTTCAAAATTTCGACCTTTTGTGGGGGAGGTACCAGAAGGAGTAGACCTATGTATCCCATCTTAACAGCAGATCTTGGGCTTATAAAAATATTGGGATGTTGTGAAAATTTAAGACAGTCGGAATATTATATAACATTTTATAAGACTTATAATTATTGAAAATTTTTACCACTTGTGGGGGAGATACTTGATGGAGTGGACCGATGTTGTCCATTTTCGCACCTGATTTAGCTCTGACGCAAATATTAAGCTTTGCAAAGTTGGAGAAATATCGAATTATCCTTTCTCTTTCTGCGCAATATATCTTCTTCTATATCTATAAAAGAGGAACATGTTTGTATGTTTGTAATTTAAGGATTCGAAAACCGCTGAATAGATTTTCCTGAAAATTTTCATATATACTGCAACATCGCCTGAAAGTAACATAGGCTATATACATTTTTGAATTTCCACTTGGAACTGGAGATATAGCATCAGAATCGGAGGTACCTCCCAAAAATTTTAATTTTATATGCACATATCTATTGATTGGTTGAAGATACAGTCTCCAAATTTGGAATGCGTAACGGAATTTGGAACAAAAATAAGTTTGCCAAATTATATTGTAATCGGTTCAGATTTGGATATAGCTCCCATATATATTTTCGACCGATTTCGTTCATTTGATGCCTCAAACACAATATGAATGTTCGATTCTAATAAAATTTGGAATATGTGACGGGATTTAATCCGAAAATAAATTTGTCAAATTATATTGAAATCGTTTCAGATTTGGATATAGCTCCCATATACATTTTCGGCCGATTTCATGTATTTGGTGGACCAAACACGATACGTATTTCCAATTGTAATGAAATTTAAAGTAAGTAACGGAATTGGGAGCCAAAATTAATTTGTCAAATTAAATTGAAATCGGTTCAGATTTGGATATAGCTCCCATATATATTTTCGACCGATTTCATGTATTTGATGCACCAAACACGCTATGTATCTCTAATTTCAATGAAACTTGGAATGTAAAGCGGAAATTAAAACAAATATACATTTGTCAAATTATATTGAAATCGGATCAGATTTGGATATAGCTCCCATATATATTTTCGGCCGATTTCGTGTATTTTATGCACCATACACGATATGTGTGTTCGATTCCAAAGAAATTTGGAATATGTAACGGGATTTTGATTAGAAAATAAATTAGTCAAATTATATTGAAATCGATTCAGATTTGGATATAGTTCACATATATATTTTCCGTCGATTTCACATATTTGATGCACAAAACACGATACGTATTTCCGATTCCATTGAAATTCGGCATGAGTGGCTGAATTTGGTACAAAAAAAAAATTAGACAAATTATATTCAAATACGCTCAGATGTGATTATAGCTCCCAAATATATACTCAGCCGATTTCACATGTTTGATGCACCCAAAGCGAGAGAGACAAAATCTGGCACCAGAAAAAATTGCCAAATTATATTGAAATCAGTTGACGTTTGGATATAGCTAACATATATATTTCGGCCGATTTCATACATGTTATGTACCAAACATGATATATATGACCGATGCCAATGAAATTCAGAATGTGTGGCGGAATTTGGTTACAATAATAAATGCGTTAGTTAAGATTTAGCTCCCATATATATATATATTCTCGGCCGATTTCACATATTTGACGCACCAATTTCAATGAAATTTGAAAGATGTGGTTTGGTGTAAAAGTAATTTTTTTAAAATTATATTTAAATCGGATCAGATTCGGATATGATTTTAATAAGAACCATTGACCCACAACGCCTTAGGCTAATACTAAAAAACAACACAACAATTGATTTGAAATACGCTTATTACGGCGAAGTATGTTGCTATCTCGAATTCACTAATTGCAATAGAAATGCCACTCAACTTCAAAAGATTGCAGTTTACTGCACGATTAAAAAAAAAAAAAATTAAAAATTAAAAAAAAAATATTGCACTACTCTAATGCGTAAATAACCAAAACCATTAGAAAAGCAGTAACATGACATACATACACGAAGGGTTTGTCCTTCGGATTTATTTATTTCATAGCACATACCAAGCGTGCAGTAAACTGCAATCTTTTGAAGTTGAGTGGTTTAAAGCATAATAAATCACAGATCTGACTTATGTAGGCGGCACAATTTTGGTTATAAGTAATGACGCCATTATAATTACTGCAATTTTGATTACAAGTAATGACTTGATTATGAGTAATGACTCAATGACTAAACATAAATTAATATTCATGGCAAAAATTATAATTACTGTCGGTTTTAGATATTTTGAATAGCCTGATCTTATTTTTCAGCTAAAGGCTTTAATTTGAGTGTTAAATACCTATATGATAAAGAACATCTATAATAGCCCCATGTGAAAATTCAGCTCAATTTTTGATATTGTAAAAAGCATTCAAATGAGCTATAATTTGAATTTTGTATTTCCAACGTTTAAAATCCCGTACTGCGTGGTATTCAGTTTTGTCCACCTCATACTTGAAGGCAGAATGTTGTCAGAATAGCCAAAAAAAAATTACTCTTTTGCTCCGATTACCGTAAGATGGGCATTAATGATGCGGTGGAGATCCAATAAAGTTATTTTATAATTTCGTATTTTTTTTCATGTTTCTGCCACAATTTCCGACTGAATAAGTCCCAGACTGACATTTTGGAGTTTATTTCATATAGACGTACATCCCAAATCTACGTTCCCAACCAATATTCTCTTGGTGGTTACAAATTCAATAGAATACCAAATTTTCTTTTCTGGCCACACATTGGTTGGGAAAGTGGACTTGGGGGTATACTAATGTGGGGACTATACTTAAATAAATTCCTATGAGGATAATTATCTGTAAGATGATTTTCTACCCCAGGGTTTTTTACCCCAGGTAGCCTCAAGAATAAGATGCGCACTTTTCCGAAAAATAAAAATTTATAAGAAGAGGTTTTCTTCCCCCTTAGAAACAAAGATGTCATAACGCTTTTTTGGTCATTTTTGTTTTATTTAAATGTGTTTGCATCTTCCAGCTGAAGCACGATGTAGGTCC